AATTGTAGATTAAATGGATTAAAATTTGGTCAAGCCATCTCGATTTCATAATCAGTATAAATTTTTTATAATGGAAGAATATTATCTGTAATTTTATATTATTAGAACTTTTTCCCTAGCTATAGATAATCTTATTGAAATTTGATATAAATCTTTTCCTCTAATATCCAGGACTTCCATGCTTCTAATATTATTTGGATTCATATTACATACCAATCGAGCCCTTATATATATATATTGCATAGAGAATTAACAATATGGATAAATTAAATGGTAATTTTGATGATAGACAAATCAGGGCAATCATCTACTTTTAATGCAGTCCATTTCCAAGAGATATTCTTTTATCTATAATTGGATCCATAGTGCATTAAATCACGCAATATGATTATGCAAGATTGAGAAGCGATTTTAGTCTTGTTTTGAAGATTATTTTTATGAATATAACGATGTAGTTTCAGAATTCTGGAATATGAAAAGAAGAATGAATAGGTAAAACGAATAGATATAACTATGAGAGCAGCTTTGAAACTCAAAGTAGGATATCAGAATCAAAAAAGCATACTATGATGGCCTAGTTGTTGTTTACAGACTACTGTTTATCCTAATAGAAATCAAAAATAAATTGAAAAGGAGATTTTCTGCTCCTTCTTTAATTATACATACGTGTGTTCATGTGACAATCGATAAAAGACGGTTTTCTAAAAGATTTTCATCAGGATTTATATTGAAGGGTGATAGAAGTTGAGGAGGAGACTACTGTTTATGAGTCTGTTGGTAGAAGGACTATAAATATTTTCAGTTATAGATAGGGAGAAGCAAAATTTTTATGAGAATAATTGAAAAGTATTTTAAGTAGGTTTAAAAAGGATATTATAGGTTCTATGACCTATTCATTTCTTTTTCTGTTCCCTTTTTTATAAATACAATAAACATTTGTGACATTTTTGTTTTTTAATGCTCTCCTGCACTAGAATTATTAGATATACACATAAAATTATTGGAGCATTATTTATATTCTTCATTTCTTTCCCCTTTTTATACTGTTATTGTATGCATATTTTATTATGACAAGATCATTATTAAATCTGATATATTTTCATTAAGGACTCATTTTAAATCTTTTTATAAAACGTATCCCATGTTGACTACAGCTTTACGATTTAAACTATTATATAATACTCTCCTCATTATCTTCTCTACGAGGTTTCATTTCTCTTTCTCTGACATTGTTGAGCTTTTGAGTATAACTCATATGAGAGTAATACATATTAGTTAGCAAATCTTTTATCTCACTTAATTACCAACTATTAAAAATGCTTTTGATGAAGAAAAGATACATTAGAAAAGAGGAAAAATAAGATGATTTATAATCTCTTCATATAAAGTTAAGCAGCTCAAGCTTACTTTTTACATTGTAAATAATTTAAAAAATAATTTATTTTTTAATTTTTTCATTTTGATCTTTCTTCAACCTTTACTTTTAATTTTAAAGTTCTCTTATAATTTACTAGTTTTTCTCTAAACTATTCTTTATATGATTTTCTCCTTATATCCTAAGAGGTACTTGCTGTTATTTCTTGTTAAGTCTAACCTCTTAATTATGAGCCATTATATACCCTTTTACTTCTTTCAACACTATTGTTTTTACTTTTTTTCCTTCAATAGAAAGACTTTATAAAAATACTATTTCTATCAATTTTTCAGAAGCATGACCCTTTTAAAGTTTAAAGGAGATGGTAAGTTGAAGAAGCCAACTCCATAAGATTAAGTCAAGTTATAAAAATATCAGGTCTTGATTAAAAACTTAGTGATGATGCTTTTAGTGTGAAAAAATTGAATTTGATAGAATTAGTGATGAAGGTTTATTGTTATTATTTTTTTTTCCATTAATAAGTAGTTAATACTTAAAATATTAAATTCTTATTTATTTTTCATTATTTATATTTTTAACCTGGTAAATTTAAAAAGAATTTATATTTATTGTTTATTTTTGATACGTTTAAATTC